TGGGAAACTGAATTTTAAAAATCTTTTATGCTTTTGAATTGAATAGAGTATGTATCAGCTTCATTTGGGAATTTACTTAATCTTGTTTTTCTTTCCAGGAAAAAGAAGGGCCTGTAACAAAAAGTATTCGATTAACCTCAGCTCTGATCCTGAGAAACCTAGTCATATACTCTAATACCGGGAAAAAGTAAGTACAGAATGAGCCCGTGTGTTTCATGTTCATGCTGAGAAAGTTTGAATTTGTATTTCATCTTTTATTTTGGAGCTTAATTGTAGAGGAACTGTTTATAAGATCGTAATGTATTGTTTTTTACTCATATCATTAATTTCAGTTGATACTGAATTTGCTCCATTATTTCTTTTAGATATATAAAAACAAGCAAAATTTATTAGATGCAGCTGAACAGTTCTCTCCTTCCTTTCCAGGTTATTGCGAGGCTTTGAGTCTGAGCTAGCAAATGTCGCCCTTAGTACAATGGAGTCATCACGAACAGTGGCCCAGATCCTCTACGACATCCGCCTTCCTGATCATCAGGGCATTTAAACTGCCAGATTCATCCGTGGACTTTTTAAATACCTATTGAACCCTTAAAACTCATGTGTTAAGTGGAATTAACAGTCCCGAAGAAAATAAACGGCTGTTATTTTGACTTAATTGTGGGGAGACCGCTCTGAGGGCCAACACAAGTGTTCAATGCTATCCACAGTATGGTGTGTAAAACTTGCTGTTCACTAAAGTTGAGTGGTTTTGAGTGCGATTAAATGTCATACAAGAAGGAGTCCAAAAACTTGGGCACATTAAGCAGTGCAATTATTAAATATTCTTTCATTAAATTGCTTACAATGATGGGTAGTTGAGTAAGAATGAGCGTTATTTATTTTGTATTGTGCCAGTGACTAGGTGGAAGTTGAAATCCTTGCTTGTCAGAGACCTGCCTTGTAGTTTCTCATTCCTTATGTTAGAAATTTGCATTTAGGTCATTGATATCATTGTATGGAAGTCAAACTCTGTGGTATCATTTTTACTATTTATTTTTTAATTAGCACATTTTCAAATTTTAAGTTTCAGAGCTTATGTAGATAATGTCCGGATGCAGTGTTTTACTGCCTAGATGGTAATTTTAATGAGTAATCTCAACTTGCTAAATTTTGCTCTATATGACTAGTTTAGCATGATGGTGGATCTGTCAGCACAATTTTGTAAATTTTGTACACAGTGTATAAATACCATAACTTCTGTACATGTAGACTGTAGTGGAAAAAAAATTCTTCTGCTAAAAGCAAGTTAAAGACAAGTTTCCTCCAGTACACATGCTTAGGAGAGGCAGCTGAAGGCAGTGGTGCCGAGTGCCCACACAAGGTCCAGCCAGATGTAAATGGGTTTCATATGTAGATATATATATGGACCTTTTAGAAAACCTGTGAAAATTCATAAAAGGAGAAAGTTGTGATACCAAATATATAAATCTTGTTTTTTTAATAGAAAACTTGAAATCTACGTGAAGACTAATTCTATTTTCTATCATTATTTGTAGAATCATAGATGGGTAGCATATTATTTTTTACCAGTTTAACATGTATGATGCAGACACTGGCCAATGAATAATGATTTTTTAATAATCGATTATGTTACTTGAAGAGCATATACTCTGTGCATCAAAATATCAGTTAGTTCAGATTATAAATTAGGTGAGGATACTTGTACATTTTTATCTATATTGTTATGCCGTCTTGAAATGGGATTCACTATTAAATCTCTGTACCTGAGTCACATGATACACTAATAAATCATTGTTTTGATGTTTAATGTTCTCAAAGTCAAGCCAGAAACCTGGTGTCACAAACTGTTAGAGAGACCCCAGTTTAGTGGTGATAGCCAGGGCTTTTACAGTAACAAGTCTGTGTCCAGCCAGATCTGCTGCTGCCATTCACTTACTTGCATGACCAAAATGTTGAAACTTGGGGTTTTGTTTTGCACATGCATTGGCTAGATGTGTGTGCATCTGTGTGCGAGCGGTTGTATGTCTGTGTATGTGCGAATGATACATCACTATTTGTTATTGCTCACATCAGCACCATCCAGCTATGTTCATGTGCCATGCGTAAACAAGTGAATGTGGCCAAAAGTTTGTTTTTTTTTTTTTTTTTCTTTTTGTTTTTTTTGAAAAATCATCCACGAGTCCAAGGTATGTTTTTTCTTGTTAAAAAAAAAAAAAAAAAAAAAAAAAAAAGGGGTAACAACATTCTCTCGTTGTTTCATTAGTGGGCGCTTGTGGCATCTCCCACTTGTTGACCATGGTGCTAACATGGAGGTGAGCTTGGCGGCAGCAGCAGGAGTAATTTTTTCTTGCTCTTCATTTTGCCATTCCCAGTTAAATGTTTCTGTACTATACTTTCTTTCCTGATGCACTGAGCAGTGTCTTCTGTTTAATCATCTCGCCAAACAAAACATTTTTATTTTTGTTCTTTTATTATTATTATTATTATTAATTATTATTATTATTACTGTCATCATTATTATTATTATTACTATTATTATTGTCATTATCATTAATATTATCATTCTTATTTTTTTGTAATAAAATATTGTAAATGTTAATGGAAGTTTTCATCAATGAAAGTATGAAGACTGTAGTTTGTTCTCATTTACCCCTCCTTTGTAATAAATGCAGTTCAAAAACCAGAATTTTTAGGACACAGAATGAAGGAATGGGATCGAAAGACTCAGGTGAATGTGTGATTACTGTAATTTAATCGAGAAAGGGCTGTCAGTGGATTGCTCTTCAGGCTTGCTATGAAGATTGTGTGATGTGTCTTTGATTTGTAAAAAAATTATGGTGGGTGATTATTAACTATTTTTGGACAATGTACATCAACTTTGTAAATGGTGCTAAAGATGTTTTCATTTTTATTTAGCATCCTGAATAAGAATAGATAGTAAGTTTGTGCCCGTAAAAGTACAGGCACAAGGACAACACTAAAATACAAATGCACACACAGGTACATGCAGACATATATAAAAACATGCACACCCACATGCACATTTGTACCTGTGCATGCACACGCAGACACTCACACGCACACATGCGCACAGACGTACACATACACACAGACGTACACATACACACAGACGTACACATACACAGACGTACACACACACAGACGTACACACACACAGACGTACACATACACACAGACGTACACACACACAGACGTACACACACAGACGTACACACACACAGACGTACACACACACAGACGTACACACACACAGACGTACACACACACAGACGTACACACACACAGACGTACACACACACAGACGTACACACACACACAGATGTACACACACACACACACAGACGTACACACACACACACACGTACGCACACACACACACACACACACACACACACACACACACACACACACACACACACACACATATGCGCGCGCACACATACACACACGCACATGCAAACACAAGCAAATGCACACAAGCACACATGCACACACACACACACATGCACACGCACATGCAAACACAAGCAAACACACGCACATGCACACGCACATGCAAACACAAGCAAACACACACACTAATGATCTAATGATGCCTTAATACATTACCATTACTGTTGCTAGAAAGAGTCAAGGAATCTTGTTCCCTATGTGTGAATAGTAAATGTTTTAAGAATCCTCGGTATTTGAGTCTGGTTGAGATTCACAACTTGTTAATCTTAAGTGAAGACCTTTTTAATTAGGAAAGCAGTTTTCAAGTTGAAACTGGTCTTGCTGAGAGGTGAAGCTTCAGTAATATATGTGTTTGTTCGTGTGGGTGCGTGCGTGTTTGTTTATTTGTATGTGTTTAGTTAGCAAAATTTTTTGCTAAGCATTTGTCTGTGATGGCGAAATTAAAAACTCGTATATATATATGTCATCATCAGAACTTTGTGATCATAAGTGACTAGGTTGCCAGATATTTTTTGTGTTGCATTATTCACATATAAAGAATAAAAAATATAATAACAATGTTAGGGTAAACACTTAAAATTAAACATAACCCATTAAAGGCAGGGAAGAGTCTTTACCACGATTTCATGGTCTCCTGTGTCATGAGTCTGAGAGGTGCGGTTATATTGCCAAGAAAAGTAACAAAAAAAAGTGACAGCTGAAAAATACTGAACGTATGTTAGGGTTTTGTTGACAGTGTAGTATATTGCATTTTTTTTCTTACTCATTTTTTTAAAATTAATTTTACTTTCACTTCGATTTGCTGTCATAAGATTCCTTCGTTGCGTTCACATTTATAATCTTTTGCTATGTAGAAACTGTAGTAGAAACTATCTGTCATGGTTTGATTTAATCTCAAAAAACATTTTATGATTTTGTGTATTTGCGCGCGTCGAACTTTACTTTACCATTAACTCCCTTTTCTAATACTCTACCTTCCTATAGTGCTACATGACCTTAGAGGTCTAGCACATTTATTTTGCTTTTAACATTAAACCTAACCATTAACTATTCACCATTATATATTTTATTAGTGAATCATAATCCTGAAACAAATTAATTTTAACCAACCCTCAAATTACTAGATTGTATATATGTCTGCCATTAATGTGAATCAAAGAACCTAAACGTGATTTCTAACCAAATTGCCTAATAAAGTGTAGTGCAAACATCGGTAATCTGGTACGGATTGGTAATAAATGTCGTAGAAATGCTCATAAGAATTTAAAAGCATATGAAATCGTTAGAAGATCCGATAGCAGGGAACGAGGAAATGCTATATGGTAATAGTTCTAAGCATGTTTTTTTTTGCATACTTTGGGCAGTTCTGGCAACAGGTGGGCTGTGTGAATAGGCGTTAGTTCTTGTTACCTTCCCTTACCTTTGGTTGGATTTATATTCTGAAAAAAAAACGAACTAGCTTTCTTTACAGGTTGCATGGTTTTGCATGGAAATAACAAGGCTGAATAAAATCCAGAAGCTTTTTCTTTTTTTATTAAAAGAGGTACAATGTTGTGAATAGTAACTAGCGTGGGTGCGCGGTGAAGTCAGGCGGGTTCGGGTTCGGGCGAGGGAGAGGCTCGAGACGACTCCAGATGCGAGGCTTTGTATAACTCGTCCAGGTACTTGATGTAGGCTTTGTGCTGCTGCTCCGCCATCAGTCCTGAGCTGCTCCTCCGGCGATGGCCCAGCTTCCGAGCAACGGACTTGAAGCCGCGCCTCGTGGCCCAGTCTGCCGGGGTGCGGCCTTCGCTGTCTTCGGCCTGGGTGTTCGCTCCTCGGCGCAGCAGGAGGTTGCAGGTGAGCTCCTTCCCCTTCGACGCCGCCCGGTGGAGCGGCGTCATGCCCGAGCGAGACGTTGCTTCCAGCTGTGCGCCGTGGGCCAGCAGCAATTTCACCACCCTGTTGTGGCCAGCCTGAGCAGCCGCGTGCAGGGGCGTGTTGCCCACCACATCTCTAGCGTTAACGTCTGCCCCTGACTGAAGCAGGAGCCGCGCTATGAGGTCGTCTCCGTGATGCGCTGCGCGGTGAAGCACAGTCGCACATGCGGGCCAGTGGAGAGCAAGCGGGACGAGAGTGTTGCAGCTGGCACCTTGAGAGAGGCAGTTTTCTACGGTGAGGGGGCACCCTTCCTCCAGGCCAAGTATCAGCTGCACCGAAACAGGGACTTCCATCTGAACCACGGGTGCGCATGTACCTGGCCCAGAGGACCTCCTCACTTCTGCAGCGCTTCCAGTAAGTCCAACATAACCTAGATGTTCAGCAATCGTTAGAGCAGATTCGCCGACTTTGTTCTTTAGGTAAACGTCAGCGTTAAATCGTATGAGGGTTTGAACCACCTCCACCTGGCCGTACGAAAGGGCCGTCTGCAGTGGCGTGACGCCGTTCCGGTTGATAGCATCGACATGAGCGTTGCTGTACACGAGGCAGATGACCACTTCGTTATGGCCAACGCGAGCTGCTTCATGCAAGGCGCTGTTCCCCTGCTCAGACCGGGCGTCCACGTCGGCCCCGGCCCTGAGCAGGGCTTGCACCACGTACAGCGCCCCGTCTCTGGCCGCACGCAGGAGCACGGGGACGTGGCCTGTGCTGATGTTCGGATTAGCTCCGTTCTCGAGAAGCTCCCGGACCTTCTCGATGTTTTTGCGCGTGACGGCTCGGCTGAGGGATTTGTCGAGGCTGTCGTGGTACCTGGGCTGCCCTTTCTTCCCTAGCTCTTCGTCAGTCACCTCCATCTCTTCCAACTCACATTTGTCTAAGGCGGCTTCAAGACATTTTCTAAGCATATTTTCGGTGAAGCTCGCTTTTGTACCTCGTCGGTTTCCGGGATGAGTTCTGTCTGCACTGCCGCGGCGACTGTTCAGGCGAGATGAACCCCGTCTCTCCCTGCTAGATCTTCTGCTGTCTTTGCATAACTCGGCCACACTACCTTGTCTCGAACGGAGATTCTTTTCTCTGCTCTCACGCCTACTATGTGGAAGGCTTTGCCGTGAGCCATTTTGTTCACTGCATGGGGGTAGAGGCGGCAACTCCTCAAAGCTGTTTTGTTTGCTGCATGGAGGTCTTCTATTATCGACATTGCTCTTTCTAAGCATATGTACAGTTAGGTCCTCTAAAGGTTTCTTCCCATTGCTTTGCTTCCGTCGGACTTTGTGGGAGCTGTCCCGCCGCTCACCAAGTAAGCTTGATCGCCTTTTCCCATGAGGAGACTCCTCGCCCTGAACTACGGCAGGTTTCGGGGGCTCCTTGGCGACCGCTGGCTTAACGGCTTGCGTCCAGAGCTTCCTTGCTGTGTCTCTCCTTCCCCTTGTCACAGGTAGCGGGAAGATCGAGTTAGTGCAGTGTCTTAGAACCATGTTTTTCGTCTTGAGCTGAAGGATGGCAGCTTCGTTCCAACGCTTTTGGGGATCCTCTTTAACACTAGGTTCGCTTTCACTGCTGAAGAAGGCCTTGCGGCGTTGCCATGCAGGGGAGTCTGTAGATTCCTCCTGAACTCTCCCTGAGGCAGGACTTGTCGGTGATGTGGGATAACCTGAAGGAACAGGCTTATCATCTGTCACTACTGCGCGTCCTGGCTTATCATCTGTCACTACTGCGCGTCCTGGCTTATCATCTGTCACTACTGCGCGTCCTGGCTTATCATCTGTCACTACTGCGCGTCCTGGCTTATCATCTGTCACTACTGCGCGTCCTGGCTTATCATCTGTCACTACTGCGCGTCCTGGCTTATCATCTGTCACTACTGCGCGTCCTGGCTTATCATCTGTCACTACTGCGCGTCCTGGCTTATCATCTGTCACTACTGCGCGTCCTGGCTTATCATCTGTCACTACTGCGCGTCCTCTGATACTTGGGGTGGCTTGGACGGTGGGACGTGTAGGTTTAGAAACTAGGACAGTCTCTGAAGATGATTTTGTTGCATCGGGGACAGAGGTTCCTAATTCTGACTCTATGTTCTTCGTGAATATTATTTGCTTATCCAGATTCGACGTCTCGGGTTCGTCCATCTTGGAATTAGGTTTAACTGACCCTGTTTTCGCAGTCGCTGCATGAGGTATTGTAGAACCGACAGGTAAGGTCTTAGAAGTTGTCTTATCTATTGCAACAGGGAATTCCGGTGTTGGCGTTTGGTTTAGCGACTCTGGAGTAGATGGTGACTCGAGTTCATCCGAGGAGAAAGACTCCAGCGTTCCAGACTCCTCGGAACTCGGAGACAGTGTGTCCAGCTCGTACCCGGTCGTGGAGTCAACCGGTGATGCCATTCCACCGATTTCTTGGGATATTTCGTTGTTACTGACGTCAGGTGGTTCGGGAGAAATTACGGAAGAACTTTCATTCTGAGGTTCTGGAGAAACCATGGCAGAGGAAGTCTCGCTCTGAGGACCTTGTTTCTTAGTCTTCAGTCGTCGTTGTTTTTGCTCCACTTTACTCTTCCCCTTTTTGAGTCCAGGCCTTTTGATCTCAGCAGCCGATGGCGTCACGGCCTGTGTGAGAGCGACCTTCAGGGTAGTTGACAGAGAAGCCCTGTAGTCGGGTTGCTCAGAGCGTCGGTCTTTGACTTTGTTCATTAACTTGGAAGAAACTTTATTCAGGGACGCTATGTGTTGCTTCAGGTCAATGCTTTGGTCGGAGTCGCTCTGTTGAGATATTTTACCACTGGTCTTCGACTTCAGTTTGAGCCGTCCTGCTTCATGAACTAATGAATTACGCTTATAGTTATCATACAATGGTGAGTGATTCGTTGAATTTGCAAGCTCGCCCATAGTGGGTTGAACAGTAGAGGAAGGAGGCTTTGCTATTGTAGAAAGGTCAGTGGTAGAGGTACTGGAGTCAGGTAATGTGAGTGGATAAGAGGGGGCGATGGAGTCAGTGGCCGCAGGGAGGTTTAAGGTCGAGGGGCGGACGGGCAAGTTGGAATTAAGATTGGTATTGTATCGTTCTTCGTCGGCACGTGGCTGGTTTTGGTTATCAGTGCTTTCAGTGCCACATGTATCTGCTTTCTCAAAGTACGAAGATCTTGTTTCTATCTTTGCTGATTCACCGATCACGTCTGATTGCACCTCGTCGTTTGTTGGTTTCAGTTTTGGCAATAAGCTGCCTTCAGTAGAATTGTTAATCATTATTTCAATCTCAGTTCTTTCGTCAGCCCAGGTTGTGTAAGTGCGGTCACTAGCTAACGGCTGACTGTTATCAAGAGCTTTGTTTTTTATGTCTGCTTCAGCACTATTTGTCCTTGTTTCACCCATTTTCAAAGTATTTAAGTATCTTTGATTTTCACCAGTTTCACTTAGACTACTAGACCGAACATGAATCTCAGTATTGTTAATATAATCTGACCGAACGCCCCTGTCTGCCGTTTCACACACGATATCACTATGCAAAGTTTCACCAGTAACTTTATCTGTTTGAGATCCACTTACCATTTCTGTCATGAGAGTCGGATGGGGTTTATTTTCCTCTTCGCTCGCACCAATTGTCCTTTGTTCACATGTGGCAGGACGCTTGTAATCTTCTAACTCCTTTTCTGTATGAATATCCATAGGTACATCACCTTGGCTTTCTTGTTTAACGCCTGAATGAACATGAACATCCAGGCCTTGTAGACTAAGGTGAAAGCTCTCTGTCGGTTTATGTTCACTGTTTACGAATCTATCACTATTATTTTGGGTCACTGTATTAAAAGGCGGGTGACTGACGACCTCATTTGCACTGGTAGAACTTGTGTGATGGATCGTAGGTGGTAGTTCTTCGTTTTTGCTTTTGTTCTCCTCTGGTGTTTGTCTGAGAGAGAGAGCGTTAGGAGACCAGGTTCTACCACTAAAAGTCATTCTCGAATAGCTTAGGGGAGAGGCTTCATTTTGTTGTGCTAAATTCGATGTGACGGAATCTGCAATGTCTTGCTTCTCTTTGTCAGAAGTTTTGTACTGAATGACATCATCGTTTTCGCTGATGTGTATGTTTTCCTTATTATCATCAACAGAACCTGTAGTCTGACTGAAGTTGTTCGTCTGAGGAGGTTCTTTGCGCTGTCTGATGAAATCCTCAAAGGAGTCCGTTTGGGATTCGATCCTGTCCGTTGTTCGCTTCACGATGGTTTTGACAAGCGTGCTGCAGAATTTCGGTCTCTTGTTGTAGTTTGGTCGCTTGCACTCCGTCCGTTGCATCAGGGTCTGCAAACGGTCCTGCAAAGCTATGTTGAAGCGCGGAACTCTGCAGGCTTTGTCGTTTTCCAGCATTTTCACTATCTTGCGTGTCTCTTCATTCAGGGAACTCTCAGAACGCTCGTGGAACTGAACGAATTTATCTCGTAGTCTAAACCCCGACGGCCTGAGGTTTCCGACGAAGGGTTCGCTCTTTTCCTTTTGGCTTTCTGGAGAGACCGCTTTCGGTAGCCGTCCAGGTCGAGTGGTAGCTGGTTCCTCCATGCCTTTTACACTCACACTCTTTCGGTCTGTGGTAAAATATTTCTTGCTTATTGTGTTACTTTCATCCATACGTGTATTGTTTGTTATGCGTTCTGAAGCAGAGTCAATTGAAGCAGATGTCTGAGCGTTGGGATCCTTTTCCTCAGAGGCACTTCGAAGTCTGTCCAGGGGCTTCCACGCGGGTGATTCATGGTGTACCATTATAGAAGAGTCCGTATTCAGTGAAGTGGCAGCACAGGTGTCCCCCGTCGTAAGCCTTGTTGAGCAGTCATCTGAATAAGTCAGATTTTTGGCAGAAGTACCAATCAAATTATTGTTTTGACTTACGCATGTGGCCGGAGGTTGGTGGCAGTCGAAATGGCTCTGTTCCAACTCCGCCTGTGTCTTTAGTGCTCTGAGCCCACTTACCTCGCCACCTGTGGATTCCTGTATGCGACCTTGAACACCAAGGGCGTCGGTATGAGTGTCGAGCTCGCTGTCTGTCTTAGTGTAGCAACTTTCACACTGAGTATTCACCTCGTTATGTACAATTGCACTTCTTTTCCTGTCTGTTACAGATTTGATCACATTTTCTCGCGTACCAACGTATTCTTCTTTATCTAAAAAGTCCTTCGACTGCGTATCGAGAGCGTCCTTGAAATCGTCGAAATCCTCGCAATTTTCTCGAGTGCGTGAATCTGAAATCCCTTCTTCCTCGAGAGAGAACAGCTCATCGGGGGCGTCGAAGAACTCCTCGGGGCTTGACGGATCGCTGGGCGTAGCGTCGAAGCCGGGGGCGTCGACACTCAAGAGGCAGACAGGCATGAACGCGGGTCGATGGCACTTGCTCTGAGACCATGTGTCGTTGCACTCATCACTGCCTCTGTTGCGTAATCCCAGCTGATCACCGCCACGCGTCTCACCAGATTGTCTTCCGATGAGCTGAACTTCACACTTTCCCTCACTGGCCTCGGGGTCGCGGCCATCCCCACGCTCGCCCTCACAGGGAGCCTCCCAGACCTCATGTGCTCGACCCCCGCGAGGACCTTTGGGGCCACGGGCGGGGTCCGAAGTGGAGAGGGCGTCGCCGTGGCACTCCGAGGCTTGGGCGGCACTCCTGGCGTCGGGCGCGTCACCTACGGTATGTCGGCCAGCAGGTTCAGGGGCGCGGATGACGGGGACGAGATTGACGGAGGCGAGGTTGACACATGTCACGAAGTAATCATGGCGTCTAAGGAGACCTTCGTTTGTGTTATCGCCCCTGGCTATATTTGCTCCACCATCCCTCACTCCAATACCCTGTTCGCCGTGGGTATCGTGAACCCCCGAGTCTGCGCCGTCTCCCCGAAGGCTCCTCGCGCCGAATTGTGTATCACTCGAGAGACTGACCTTCGTAGACACTTTGCTCAGCATTCTTCTTCGCCGGAAACGCTCAGAAATGATCAATGCCCGATGACGTCAGTAGGTCTTCATACCGGAACGCCTTTCAGCACGGCCACTGACAGGGACCCTTTTTTCAACACTCACATTGACTGCATATATAACATTCCACTAGTCTCCGTTTACGACCGGTGGCGCCCTTACTCTCGGAGCGAATTCCTGGCCCTACGACGCGAAACAAAGCCAAACCAAAGAGATCAAAGAAGCAACACGACTGCGTCTTGGTCAGGCTGCGTCAAGTGGTGCAGTGACAAGTATGGTTCTCCAGCCCGCCCTCTACCCTAGGGTATGTGTGTAGGGTGGAGGTAAAGGGGCAGGGGGAAAGGAATGGCACCCTGCCCTGCTTATTCAGTCGCCGTGTCCACCCTCCCCTCGCAGGTGCCAAACCCTCGCCTCACCTGGCCGTTGCATCAGTCAAGCCTAATCCTTTTTTTCACGAGAGTATCTACCCATCATCTTTTTTTTTCCTCCTTTTTCTACCTCTCATAGATATGCCTTTTAGAGCACCTGTTCATTCAGAACTCAGAAAAACAGTTTTTTTTCTTGTATCATCAAATATTGCAAACTCGAGGAACATAACAGTATATTGTGGTATTTATAGTCTCTGATATAACATATCATAAGCCATTTTAGGTTATAGTCTGCCTGACATCCTGCTTCTCTCTCTCTCTCTCTCTCTCCTTCCTTCCCTTTCTCTGTCTGTCTGTCAGAGCATTCAGGCGTGCGGGCAATCAATCAATCAATCAAGCAGATAGGTAGGCAG